AAAAAAAAAAAAAAGAGCCATAAAAATGCCACCTGAAAGCAGGTGCACAAAAGCATCCAGAGGGGCTGTGGGGAGAGCAGCTGGCCTTTCAGCCCAATGCATCAAGGGGCCATCTCCAGGCAAGGGAAACAATAATTAAATATCGAGCAATGACTGTGTCTCCAGCATATTAATAAGGGAAGAGGCAAACTGGGAGGAACCGGAGTGCCAAGACAGTTAGCCATCACCCATTCTTGTTCAGCCCTTGAAAAGGGAGGTTTGCAGGCAAAGAGAGGTCCGTGCTCCCTGCAGGATGACACCCTACGAATGAGAGGCAGGCCCACTGTGAAGTGTGCTGAGTTGGATCAAACGTGTCCAGAATCTGCTAGTGTCCACATGCAAGCTCCTTGTTGGCCTTGCATGAACACAGGTGCCAGCGACTAAGTTTTGATCTCCATTCAGAAGCTCATTCCCCACAACCCAGGTGGATTTTAAATTGGGGCTTTCCATTCAAGCCTTCCCTGTAATAGTAACTCAGTCTGTACAACTGGTCCCATCAACTCCAACAAGAAGAGGAGTGCAGTCAGGCCCCCGAATTGCTCTAACCATGTTGTAGCATATCTGAATTCTTAAGCTATTATTCCAGTTTGATCTTCTGGACATTGTTCGCTATCCTTACTCCAAATATGGGTGCCCTGAATTCAGATCTGTCTGCCCAGCTCTGCATGGCCTCTACCACGTGGGCAGATGGCATTGAGGTGCCCAGCACAGGCAGTCAGCTATATGGGTTAGTAGCTGGAGAAGGTTAGGAGTGAGTTGACCTAGCTTCAGGTCTGAGCTACTACTCCATTATAGGACCTTAAAGAAAACCACTACTTTATGTGCCACCATTTCTCCAGCTTCATAGGATTCCCCACAGTGGCAAGAAGTATGCGGATCTTTGCTTGGCACTATAGCAAGTATTACTGGCAGAGCCAAGGTCTGGTTATACAAACACGTGGTCCTTTTAAAAACACACCCCTTATGACTAATGGTGTTTTCTGTCCAGTTCCTTTGACACAGCAGATGTGATGTCTTTATAGAGAGAAAAGATTTTGTTACCTTGGCTAGATTGTCTGCACAATGGAGCTGAGATGAAAGCAGCTTTTGTTAATAACCACTCTTATTTCCAAAGTCCCTTTCCATGCCAGCCAGCTTAGAGAGGAAGATTTGTCTAGTGGTTAGGGTGCTGCCCAGGGTTTGTGAGACGCGGTTTGGGTTCTCAACTCCACCACAAACATTTCTATGTCTTTGAGCAAATCACATGGCTTTTCTACTCCTCAGTTCCCCTGGCTGTAAAATGGAGACTCATGAGGGTACTGCAGTGCTCAGTTTATGACATGTAAAGGCAAAGGCGACTGGTAGGGAGGGACGAGGGGGCATGTGTCCCCCCTGACAGGGCTGTCCCCCACTGCCAACACCGCCAGCGGCTTCTGCAGGTGCTCACCAGTGCCAACACTGCCAGCTTCTGCAGGTGCACCCCCCAGACGCAGGAGGCACCAGTCGCCCATGCATAAGGGTCATATATGGAGAAAACATTCAGTAGCTTTCAATTTTGTCAGGTCCTACACAAATGACAGCTGCTCTGTGGTTGGCTTGTTTGCTAGCTCTAGTTCAGGAACAGAGGCAGGTTTATAAAATAAAATGGAGAATGTTTCCTCATTGGATTAAAGCACGTTATCAGGCGTAGGCCATATTGAGAAGACCTTTAAAACAGGAATATGAAAAATGTGTTCAAAACAGTTGCTGCTGTGAGTTGTCAGTCAAGACCCGGTGCAAGCTGGGGTGCTGGTAATAGAGAGCAGGCCCCTGCTGGGAGGAATTAGCTAATCAAGTAAAGAAGAAAGCAGCAGAGATGCAGAGGGGAGGGAGAGAGAGGCTTTGAGAAGAAAAAATCCCAGAGTGAATGATTCCCAGAGCTGCAAAACATTGCAAAGCACCAGCTGGTCACCTCATGCTGCCCTCAGCCAGATAGGGCACAGCAGTCACAGGCTGCAGCATCTCTCCTCAGTTTGGATCATGCCTTGCTGCTCGACCTCACGGGACGGCAGGGGAAGGCTCAGCAGGTTCCCCTGGGCCATGGGCTGAGTCTAGTGACAGGACTGGTTGGGTGGCAGCACTGGTTTGGGGACCAGGGTGGGGCAGGCAGGTTTGGCTTAGACCCAGAGCAGGCTTGTGTCTCAGCCTTTCCTCTGGCTAGACCAAAACTTCAGAGAAGGTTTGTGGATGTGGGGAGAGATTAGAGGCCACCCTGTCAGCACCCTTTCCAAGCCCTGTTATAACTTCCCCAACACACCTCCTTCCCCGTCCAAGCTGTGGCTGACACCCTGGTCCATTCTGCCTTCTCCAGTGCCCCTGCAGGAGTCTACTTCCCTCGCAACCCTGGATTTCCATGTTGCTGCCCCAAAGTGCCCTTCACGAGCAATGCCAGCTCCTCCTCTCTGAGTCTCCTCTACAATCACATGGCTGTCAGACCTCATAGTCCTCTAGTCAAGCCCCCAACCGTTTCATCCCGCCACCTCCTCAGCCAAGGCCACCTCTTGCACCGCAAATCCACACTCTCACCTGTCTCTGTTTTTTTTTCTCAGAGAAATTTCTTTCACTCTTTCCTGCCTAGAGCAGGGGGTCGGACTCGATGATCTACAAGGTCCCGTCCGACCCTAGAAATCTATGAAATCTATGAAATTCTTTGTTGGCACCAGGAGCATGCACCCAAACTGCTCTGTTCACACCAAACCCTTTCTAGGACTGCTCGTTGTATGCCCAAGAAAGCAGGCATGAAAATGCAGGGTCCCAGGAGATGGACTGCCAGAAGTTCCCCGAAGGCTGAGGGAGGGACTGGGAGGAGGAAAGAGGGATGAGATAACCCAGTGGGGCTCAGAGAAGAGGACAACGGAGAGGTGGGGTAGGTAGAGCCACCTCGTCGTGTTCTCAGATCTGGAAGCAAGCAAAGGTTCCAGATGACGACTGGGGAGAGAAGAGGAGAGAGCTGGGAAAGAGGGTGAGAGAAACCTGAAAAGGATGAGGAGCCCCTTGCATGGTCCGTCAGCCACCAGGTTGCTTTGGAGCTCATCTAAGCAGAGCCTCAGTGCTCGGTGCATGCTCAGACGCCCAAGTCCCTGACTGTGTGCCAGGGGAACCCTACCTCCAGTGCACCCCCCGAGGGCAGGGGCTTCATAGTTTCATAGATAGTTTCATAGATTAAGGGTCGGAAGGGACCTAGTAGATCTTCTAGCCCGACCCCCCGCCAGGGCGGGAGAACAACAAAAACCCCAAAAACAAGAAACGGGACTCAAATGAGTCCAGCCAGGTAGGCATCCAGCCTCTTCTTAAAGACCCCCAGGGTAGGGGCCAGCACCACTTCCCTTGGAAGTTGGTTCCAGCTCCTAGCCGCCCTAACTGTGAAGTAGTTCTTGCGGATGTCCAATCTATACCTCCTCTCCATCAACTTGTGCCCATTACTCCTTGTTATGCCAGCGGGCGCTAGGGGAAACAGCGTCTCCCCCAAACCCTTCTGGTCCCCCCTAGTGAGTCTATAGACGGTCACCAGGTCCCCCCTCAGCCTTCTCTTGTGGAGGCTGAATAGGTTCAGGTCCCGCAGTCTCTCACTGTAGGGTCTGCCCTGTTGTCCCCGGATCATGCGGGTGGCCCTCCTCTGGACCCTCTCCATGTTGTCCACATCCCTCTTGAAATGGGGCGCACAGAACTGGACACAATACTCCAGCTGTGGCCTGACCAGCGTCGCGTAGAGGGGGAGGATCACCTCCTTGGCTCTACTCGAGATGCACCTGTGGATGCACGACAAGGTCCGGTTAGCCCTGCCAACCATGACCTCGCATTGTCGGCCCATGTTCATCTTGGAGTCAATAATGACTCCAAGATCTCTTTCTGCCTCCGTGCTCTCAAGTAGGGAGTTCCCCATTGTGTAAGTGTGCTGCTGGTTCCTACTGCCCAAGTGCAGCACCCTGCACTTGTCCGTATTGAAACGCATCCTGTTCCTGTTAGCCCACCCCTGTAACCTATCCAGATCCCTCTGCAATCTCTCACTCCCTGCTAGCGTGCTCACCTCCCCCCAAATTTTGGTGTCATCAGCGAATTTAAACAGGTTAAAATATATTTAGGACATATTTCTCAGGCTTGTGTCCATGCATGAGAAATATGTCCTAAATATGCTCCTGTTTAGATAGATAGATAGATAGATAGATAGATAGATAGATAGATAGATAGATGCTAAACAATTGGTCTGGTACTGTGGTTTTACCCTGCTCATTGCCATCTTTGCAAACCCCAAGACCACTTTGGGGCAGCAGCTGCTCTGCCTCGCCGAGGTTTCCTACCGGGACAGTGTGGTCAAGAGGATATGGCTCTAGTGGGGGACTCAGGAGTGCTGGGCCCTGTTCTCAGCTCTGCCACTGGCCTGGCCTGTGACTTTAGACAAATCACTTCACCTCTCCATTCCCACACCTTCCTCCCTTGTAACCACTTGTCTGCTTACAGGTAAGCACTTCAGGTTAGGGAGTATCTACCATTTCCTGGCACAGTATCCAGTGTGGTAGGGCTCTTTCCTCATCCAGGGGCTGCTGGAATATTGAAGATATGGAGGGTGGAGGGAGCTGGACCTTGATGCCTCCATGACTTTCACTCTGAAGCTGTCACCCTCCCCCTTTCTCCTTCTCCCTTTCCCTCAGGCTGGTTGAAGGACAGAAAGGGTTAAAAGTTGAAAGCAAAGCCTTCTTCTCCAGCCTGACTTTCTTCAACGTCTCCGAGCAGGACTACGGCAACTACACATGCGTAGCCTCCAACCAGCTAGGAAACACCAATGCCAGCATGATCCTCTACGGTGAGTAGGGCTGGTGGGGCACATGGCAGGACGGGGTAAAGGAACGCTTCCCAAGGCAGACAGTGACAGGAGGGCTCCAGACAGGAGCAGAGAGGAAGAAGGTGGAAGGATGCAAACCCCACAGGGTGATCGTTCAGGGGTCTGACTGAGACGAACCCACCAGAGCACACCACCTCCGCTCATCTCAAAGCAGAGATGTCACAGGATGGGATGTGTCTCTGCCCCGGTGGTACTGGAAGTTTGGCAGTGAGCAGATCATACAGGCTCAGCTGTTATTCCCAGGAACAACACAACCAGAAACACAGGGGGCCATGCTACCACCACAGCCCCAGGGTGGTGAAGGGCCTGCTTAGGGCCAAAGGAAATTAAGCCTCCATGCTTATTTCACCCCAGCTTCCTCCACCCCTGCCTGCAGCTCCAACCTGCAGGAAACCACTGCCCTGCAATACCCTTCACCCTGTTCATTCATTCCTGGATTTCTCCATGCCCTCTGGCCCCCAAGCATCCCCAGCCCTGATCTGCACAGACCCTTGTGCTCTTGTTTGAGAGCGCTTTCTCCATCTCCTCGCAGTCACTGGCTTGTCCACTCCCTGCTCTCCTCAGCAGACTTCACTTTTTTTCCTTAAAATGGCCCCTTTGGTTCCCTCATCTGCATACCCTGAAAACCTCTCAGAACTGAACTTGGAGTCATTTATCCCATAGCTCCTAAATCAAAATACCTATTTCCCCACTGCAATCTGGGGCAGACAGAAGCTGGACATTGAGAGTTGGTAAGGTGAGGGTGACTGGACCCCATTACTGGGTAAAACAACCCCCCGCAGCCCATTGCTCCCAAACCCATGCACACCATTGGAAAAAGTGCTGGTGACTTCTCACCCTCCACCCCACCCCATGTTAATGGCACTTCAGTGCTTCAGAACAGGACCAGAAGAGGAAATACTGGCACACAAATCAATAGTAGCGTGTGGAGTATTTCCACCCTGATCCGAAGGAATCAGGAAGCATGTGAGAAAGTCTGTCCTGATGAGATTTGTAGCCTCACACTGCAGGTTGTGGTAGCTCGTTCAGGCCGATATAAAACATCCAGGATTCCAGGGTCTTATTCAGACCTTGTCACGTGAGATCCTCCAAATACCAGGAAGGATCAGCTGCTTGAGTCGCTGCTTTTTTTCTGGACAGCACAATAAACCATGACAGGTTGTGCTCGGGAAAGAGGCTCAGACCTCAAAATCCACCTGCAGACCCAGGGGGCTTTGAAGTGCTTCAAAGGTCACATGTGTCCTGAGCCAGCAGTTTAGTCTAAGGCCTCTTATGAATGCAAAAATTGGATCCAGATCTGAGCTGGGCCTTCAGCCATCTCAAAGTTTGAATTCCACCAAGCTGGGCCTTGGAGCTATCTACTATCTCCACAGTAGTCAGTCAGATACATGAGAGGACTCCTCGGCATGCTGCTTTCGCTGAGTGCATATGTGCAGTCTCACAGCAGAGTTGTGCAAAGTTCCTGTACCCAAACCTGAAAATGGGGAGCACTTGCTTTCCAGCAAACCTGGCTCTTGAGCCCGTTTCACTGACATAGGTAAATCTTCTGACCAACTAGAGACAGATTCCAGAGAAGCCCTTTCCAGCTCCTGGGTTTAGTAGGAAATTACTTCGGACCTAGCAGTTTCTCCTGGCTTGGGCTCAAGATTTGACCATTTTGGCTGAGTTTCTATTTGAGGTTTGGGGCCTATCTAGATCCCAAACTCGAGATTTGTAATTGCGCAAGTCTAGGAAAGGGAGTCGGGATGCTTGTTCCCTAAGGACAGAGACTTGGCCCAGTTGTGACATTCCTGTCCTGACCAGGATTCGAACAGACTTCTGGACTGGGATGTTGTTTTAAGTCCAAGATCACGTGGTTGAAAGGGACCTTGAGGGTTCTCCAGTCCAACCCTGAGACCCAGCTCCACTTTATGCAGCCCTGAGATACTGTCCTAAGGTTTCTGAAACAATTCGGAGCACAGCACAGGAGAGTGTGGCAAGAAAACTGCCCTTGTGTGATCAAGCTCATCCTACAGAATTCCCCTCCAGCGGTATGAGCTGGCCCCAAGTCAGAGAGCAAACAGCCTGCACGGCTCCATCATTGCATGTCATGCTCCAGGTCAGATTATCTCTTACTGCAAAATGAAATTAAAGAAATGAGTCTTCTGGCAGGATGTGGAGGGTGGGAAACTTCATACCCTTATCTTGGAGCTATTTTCTCTGCATGCCCGAGCTGTGTTTAGAGTGATGCATCCATATGATACCACTAACAGTCCAGGAGGGCTATAATTGCTCAACGTAATTTGTCACAGCTCCTTATGCTACGGCAGGCTGAAGTGTTAGAGCCTGCATTGCCGACCAGGAACTATGCGAGGAGCAAATCCCTTATCACCCCATTTCCAGATTGCTGCCCATGAAAAAACTCTGGCCAGCTGGTGTACATCAAACTTAGGGCTGTAGCTACTATTGCCCGGCTTCGCACACCTCTTAGCTGAAAATGAGCCTCGCCTCATTATAAGCACTGACCTAACACTGCACTTGTGGACATCGCTAAGCTCCACTCAAACCAACGATGCCATTGTTTCCATAGTGACTACAACAGGGAAAGAGCAGAGAGAGACTTTAAAAAATAAGAGAACAGAAATCTAGGCCCTATGAGACTCAAGCAGAGCATGGAATAGGTGCTGTTAAGTTTGTATTTACACCTGCGTGGGCATCGCTTCAGCAGTCAGAACCAAGACTCCTGGTTTCTTTTCCTCACTTTGCCCCCGACTCGCCGTGTTAAGTCAGGTAGCCCCAAATGAGTGCAACGTGACAGTGATATGAGGTTCCTGAATTTCTGAGCACCTAACTTTAGACATGTCAAGCTGCTGGTTTTCCAAGGTACTGAGCACACACAGCCCAAACAGAGCTCACTGCTCAAAGTTAGTGCTGTATACATGTTTGGACCTGTGCAAAATCAAAGGCTGCTATTGAAAATGTAGATCTGCCTCCATACGAGGGCCTGAGCACACGACATGCGTGGTGCAATCAGCATTGGTTTTGTACGCCAAAGTAAATGACACCAGGGCCTAAGGTAGCTCTTCCAAAATGCCGACACATAGTCAGCACTCTTACACTGTCTTACCACGAGGTGGTCAGGGAGCAGGAAATATCCTGCTTGCTTTAGCAAACAGCTAACCAAGATGAAAGAGGACACACAAGACTTATACCAGTGTAGGATAAGCAATGTAGTTTACTCCTGATTTTCCACTGGATTAGCCTACACTGGGTTAAGGTAAGTTACACCAGTGCTTGCTCCTTTTTTAAACTGGAGTAAAAGCCAGTGACACTGGTATAAACTTGCTGTATGTCCAAGCCCCAAGTTGTTGATTATCCATCTAGAAAATGCGTGTAGCGTGGAAGCATGTAACAAGGTGGTTACATCTCCCAGTATGGGCAGAATCATTCACATGGAGTGGGAGGCAGGTTTGTAGTTACTACTACCCTCTTCCTTCGTAATTTAAGCTGTCATAGGGGCAGACTCATTCTCCCCAGGAGATAATACAGGAGATCAGCCAGCATAATCCAGTTGTGGGTGATATTAAATCAGCACATGCACTGGACTAGGCACCCCATCCCCATTTCAAGCAAGTGACGACTACTTTTTGTGCTGCACTGTGCCCAGTAGCCCAAGTTGCAGCCACTTAGTATCACTGTTTCCCCGGGTCTAGCATAACATGAACCTCTGCTCATGTGAACCTCGAGTGAACCTATTCCACTGATGGACTGAGGTTTCCCCAGCCCTTTTCCTCCTTGCAGCCCATCCTTCCAGCTCCACTGCCTTTGGGAAACAGGGCATGTTTCTTTCAGCTTGTTCTGGGCTCCTGGACCAGTGATAAACTGGTCTGAAAGCTTAAGTGCCAACCAAGGCTAATTGGGTAGCACTGCTCCACACCACAATATTATCAGGCTCTAGGGAGGGTAACATTGAAAATGCACTGAATCAGCTCTTCCGGTTCCCTGTAAATCAGGATGTTCTGACTGTAAATGACATTAACACCATCTGGTGTTACAGGGGCCATGGGATGGTTGGGAAGATGGATTTATTAATGATTGAGCGCATGGGATGAAAGACATTCATCCCATATTGAAAGAAAACATTTTGGAGCCTCATGGCCCCTTCTGCATTGCTCCTCATACCATCCTCGGTGGGCATGCCATTGAATAGCACTGCTTTCCTGAAATAAAACACCCTACCTGCAGAAGAGGAGAGAGAGTAACATCCTGGGACCCCAATCCTGTGAGTGAATCTGCTTGGGTGCAGGGATTCAGCTACCAGTAGTATCTCGCAGGCTAGGCTGGGTGCTAGGACTGTCCACAACATTCATACTATGATTCAGTCTTTGCAATACTTCACTTCATCAATAGTGCGTACCGTGGAATTGGCCTTCCTGCTCTCCCAACATCCTTGTCTTCAGGGCAGGGATTGTTTCTCATGAGGTGTTCATCCAACACCTGGCACCAGGGGCTCAGCTGGGGCTTTAGATGCTACTGTAATAACATCTCCTTTGCAAGGCTGGTCTAATTTATCATTTCCTAGAATGATGGGGAATGGACTTCCAGAGGTCATCTAGTCCAACGCCCTGCTTGAAGCCGAATCCTCCCTATCCAAACCATCCTATACAATCCATAATTAAACTCTTTGTAAAACTACCCTCAACTCTGACACAGCACAAGGCATAACACCTTATCCTGCCACAGGTAAAGCAGGGAATCATCCCACCGAATCTTCCTTCCCATGGTTTTCCATGATTCATTTCATTCAGTTCAGAAAGTGTCTGCCGTTCTTCCCCACCATCCACCTCAGCCCCAACCCTGCCCCTCCCACAACATCTCTGTGTTGCCTGATGACGTGTTCGTGGAGTGATATATAAACTATATTTTTTTTTTGTCATTTTTCTCTTCCATTGTTTCCTCACCTGGTTTAGAAATAAGTGAGCCCACAAGCTCAGCCTTGTTCCAAGGTCAGTATTGCTCTTGCTGTATGTCACATCTGCTGTTCTTCTTCCCCCCCTCCTGCCTTTAACCTCCCCCCACCTTGCACCATACGTTCGCCTGGTCTGATGCTGCCTGTCTCCCTGTCCAAGAATATGCATGGAGGACAGTGCTGTGTCCTGCAGGCAAGCAAAGAGCATGCAGGTAGCTGGGCTGAGATTAGTCACCTGGGATTTGTCTCTAAATCACCTGGCTTAAGCGCTCCCTGCTCACTGCGTCCAGAGCTAACTGTACAGATGTAAAAAATCAGGTTCTGATTCTTCCCTTCCCGGAGAGTGCACCCAGAGCCTGTTCCAGCTGGACTTTGCTTTCATAGCGTCACACCATAGATGCTTTCAGCCGGTCACAGGAATTCAGTTCTACTTTTTCTCCTTCTCCTGTGTGGCAGTGCAGGACGCCTCCCTGGATATTCCTGCAAATCGTGGACCCATTCTTTCAAGGTACTAGTCATCACCAGCGCCCAGTGAGCATGTCTGGGAGTTGAGGGCACTCAGCATCTTGCAAGATCCTTTCTCTAGATAGGGCAATCCCAGGCCACACCTTTCTAGTCAGCACAGTGTCCACTTACAGTCTGCTGAAACCCGGGGGCTGCCTGGCTTCTGAGCACATGGAGAGGGCTGTTTTCACCAATGCTGTGTGCACGGTCTTAGGCATGCTGCTCCCCTGAGGTCGGGAGTCTGTGTCTAAGGACCCACGTGCTCCACTAGTTGCTCCAAATCAGGCCTCTTAGCTTTGCCTAAAACAAGGCCCATCCAAGGGCAGCCAGGTAGCAGACGAACCTCCAGGTTCACAGTAAATATGCCACTCATTGTCCCATGGGTGGAGTCCCCCTTGATCTCCTTGTAGTCCATCCTTCCAGCCCCTGGGCATACACAGGTGCCAGTTGATTATCCCGGACCAGGCATCTGAGCATCTCCACCTCCGCCACCCACAGAGATAACAGGAAGGGTCCTGATGGCATTGCTCTGAGCATGGAGACCACCTGCCTGCAGGTCCTGTGAAGAAAGGAGAGGGAGAAGAGGGGAAAGAGCAGAGCATGGAAGCGGAGGAAGTGAGTATTCCTCCCTGAAGCCTGAACGTCTCCGCCAGCCCGCGCCAAGAGAGGATACACAGGGAGGGCTCCAGAGATTGCCTCTAGCCCTCCTATTTTCCTGGCTCCCCTATTTGTGACCCAGCCAAGATGACAAGGGAAAGAATTGGGGGAGGGGGGAATAGCAGTTACTGCACAGAGCTCTTTAAAGGAGAGAAAAGCGAAGGATTTTTAGCTGTACCGGGAAACGTGTTTGCATCCCCCACCCCACACAGTGTGTCAGCAGAGACAAGGACACCTCATCCCATGTTTGGAGATGTTTATTGACTCATCCCTTCATCCTTTTGTCTTTTTTTTTCTGTTTGTTTCCCTCCTGCATGGCTGTCCCCGCATCTCTCCTCCTTGCGCTTCCCTCCGTTCTACCATGTAAGTACCTTCTGGCTCTAACGACTCAAATCCATTCTACTAACGAAGCACCGTAGCCTTCTATGAGAGGGAGGGTTAGGGGAGGCAAAGCTGATGATATGTCACAGAAGCCAGCCGGACCTTGCACAGAGATGGGACATATGGGTCTCTAGACCAGATACAGCAGTCTGAGGGACGGCAGAGAGAGGCAGGTAAGGTACACACAGCGAGACATGAGTGGGGGCCATAAATCATTCTCAGTAGGGGTTGTGAAGAGATGCACAGGGTTGCAGCTCTCCATATTGCAGAAGTGGGGGTGGCTCTAATTTGTGGTTCTAGTCTTGTGGCATTGCTGGGGGGTGGGAAGGTTCCCAGGACAGAAGTTATTGATGAAAACCGCTGCAGTAGCTGGATGGATGATATAGATGGTTGTATAAGTAGGCAGAGAGAGGGAACAGATAGTTGCTATAAATGTATGTGTCATACACGCCTACCTGTATGAGGCAGGGGGGAGCGAGGAGGGGGATGGATGTATACAGTAAGTAGAAATTGCTAGGCTTTTACAATTGCTGCAGATTTGCCAAGAAAACAGGGCTACACCTAAAAATCCTGGTAACCATTGATAAGCACACAGAGTCGCAAGTCAGGTGTGCCTAATTCTCACACATCAGGGATGTTCCTGAGACATGAAGAAGCTGAAGTGAGTCTATATTATCTCGGGCTGCACAGCCATTCGGGTCCCATGGCCCCACACCAAGCAAATGTTCCCTTTTACCTTCACAATATTCTGTGACGTTCACTAATGACAGGCTTTCATGGACAGAGTGGCCCAGATCATTTCTTGGTGTAACTCCGTTGCTGTCAGAGGAACTGAACCAGCACAATATCCCCTGCAAACTCCACCAGATACAGCACACTGAGTTCTCTGGTGGTGTTGCCTGGGCCCTACCTAAACATTGTGTTGAATAGCTCAGGAGCCAGCAAGATTTTGGTAATAAGACAAATTCAGCAGGTCAGACTGCTGGGATACCCTGGATTTAGACTGGTGTATCAGTCCAACATCACTGCCACCATCCTGGTTGTGATGTAGGGGAGCAGCGGTGTGCACAAATACCTGGTGTTGTCTATGGCTGCCCAGCAGGTAGCTCTCCATTTTGCTCTAATCCCACCATTGACATCCAGGTCTTCTTTGCCTCCAGCCAAGATCACTGCTTTCTACTGGAGGCCCATTGGCAAGACCACTGGGGCTTCAGCTATGGCAGGCTGCAGTTGCCCAACTTTGGCCTACAGAAGCTAGTAAAAGTAAACTACCCCTATTTTCTGAATATTGTTGCCTGATTCCTCTTGAGTAAAATACATGGTGCTGGTTACCACACAAATGTGGCATGGGCCCCACTTGTCTCAGAGATCTTCTCGCCCTCCATCACACCAAGACACATTATGGCTGTCCATCCCACGGGCGATGTGTGTGGAGCTTGTGGCACAATTACTTCTAGAGTAGACTCTTAATGTGGGGTTGGTGAACCTAAGCCTGGCCACACTTAGGACAGGGTGCAAGATGCACTTGTTTTCTCAGCCCCCCTCCCCCCCCAGAGGACAGGCCTTGACCTGGATCATTCAGCCTGCTGGCTAGGAGTCTCTTCCTTCATTTGTCTTTGTCTTGCAGATACCCAAATTAGGAAAGAGCAAGCTGAAAACCGCTGGTGGCTTGCTTGCTCTGAGTGTAGAGGTGCAGCTGGCTTCCACTAGTAGGCCCATGTGCATAAACTGATAACATAGTTGTTGTTTTTTTTCCAGGGAGAGCCAGGTGGTCCTGGAGTCTTGCGTCTCCAACAAAAGCCAGTGCTGGCCGCTTTCAAGGCAATTATAATGCACCCAACTGTAATGATATCCCAAGCAGTGCATCTTCCTGATCCCAGCTATTATTGCTCAGCCTGTGACCTGAAATGTCAGGTCATATCCTTTTCTAGGCTCTTGACAGGACTTAGCGGGAGCCAGTGACTGTGTGGTGCCCGACACTACCCATTTATAGACACAAGGTTCGCGGGGAGGAGAATCACACGACCAATTTGCACAGGTGCTCCCATTGCTCACTGGTTGCATTCCCTGCGGGAATGTGCAGCCTAGGGTCACTCTATCTTGCTCATTTACTGTAGAGTTTCTCCTCAGTCTTTTATCTCATTTTCCCTTGGTCTTTTATCTCCCCAGTATTAATCTAATATGGCTTTTGATGGTATCAGCACTCAGAAAAAAAGTCATCTGATTAATGTCTACAAGCTTCACAGTGATCATCAAGCCAATTTATTAGCGAATATGGGACTGGAGTAAACTCCTGACATCATATAAGTGCACTGCAAAAATAAGTGGTTATCAAAGACAGACCTGGCATTCCCTAAGGATTAAGGAGAGTTGGTTATCTGCAGAGCTTTTAATTCTGTAGTAGTTATACTCATAGCACATGCCAGAAAAGTCGCCAGGGTTTATGCTACAAAACAGCCAGTTTTGGACAGCATGTTTGCTTGAGGGGGGAAGGGAAGAGGGGATGGGGAGTTTGCCATGTCTGATCTGGGGGTTCTTCTGCATGAACTCAAGAAGAAAAGTAGCACATCTAAATGCAGGGGTGGCAGGAGATCTTTCTAGCTTTAACCCGATCTTAAATGAAAGAAAGGACACGTCCCCACTAGTAGCCTGGATCATGCTGAACATATGCCTGGACATATTAAGCTCCTTGAATATAAAGTCCACATATCCCTCTTGAGGTATCACACGAGTGCTCTGCAGTGCCCTATGGTGGTCCTATAATATGAAGATGATTCCTATCCAAGGACGACAGACAATACTGGGATTTATTGGGAACTGCAGATAAGACAAACAGCCGTGGGTCACTTCAGTCAAATTAAATGCTCAAAGGTGAAGATCAAAGCCTTGCAAGAGCACTGCTGATGGGTTCGCTTTGCCATCTCTGAGAGCACTGGCATCACCTTGCACATCTTACATGGTGCGCACTGCACGGCATGGGATAAGCAGTTCAGTTCCCATGCTGTGCACATAATGGTTCTCTCTGTCCCTCTCCAGTATAAAGATGATATCCCAGCTATCAAGGCTGAGGTCATAAAGGCTGTTTTGGGAAATACCAGGATGACCCTCCCAACACCTTCTGTTGGCTCGTGACTCAGCTGTAGCCCATTTTCCATAGACAGGATCCTGTGAGAACTGAAGCATCTTCTTGGCTCGAGGGTTTTCACATGCCATTCAACAGAGCTGTATGTGGCCCGTGACCTATCCCCATGCAGGTGCAGCCATTCCTTCTTCAAGGGCAGAAGCAAGCGGTGTGTAAGTTAAAGGGGAAAACACCACGCGTCTTGGGATCAGTGACTATTCCTCTCTCCTTCCAAGCCTGGGGAGTGACTGGGAAACATTCCTTGTTTTAGGTTTGTAGCTACAGTACTCTGAGACTCTTGCTGGAGGTTGCCATCATGCTGCTAAGGAATTAGGGTTTCAGAGTTAAGTATTACATTCATAAGAACAAGTTCT